CATTTCTTTTATTTATAGGCAATTTTCAAGGGTGGCAACCCCTTGGGAAATCATCGCAAAGTGTTGCCACGTGAGCGGTCGAAGTGTCGTTACGCTTGTTTTATTATCTCTACGGGAGAGTTATTTATTGTCGTTAGGCGTGCAAGTTGCGAATTATATTAAAGGTAGCGAGAAAAATCCATAGTTTTATTTAAGATTACTCTCAGTTTCGAGTGCTTGCGGTATTGTAATTGGTTATATATGTCTTTAAAAACGTTACCAATACTGTAGGGTACTATTGTCCCGTTATTAAAGCGATAACGCTTATATAAATATACATGAATTACCCACAGATTTCATATTTATTTATTGGGGACACCAATTATTCGATTAGGCCTACCGAATACTTGAATAAAATGTGTGCAATATATATGTCTGATAAAAGATATTCAATTAAGAAAATTTCAATAAAAGCTTTTTTACGGTGGTAGAGCCACGCAGCAGCCTCGGCTGTTGCACGAATGGGCAGGCTCGTCCGGGTAAGTACCACGACCTCACAGAAGACCGGCGTAAAGTGGAAGTATGAGAAATACTTTCGCGTTTCGTCTGGTGAGTGAGGTAGCCGGAGCCCAATTTCTAAAAAGGTTGTCAACGCATCTGCAAAGCCTGGAGTGTAGCAGATGTTCATGGGCACTTAACATCAGGTGAACCGTCAGCTTGTTTGGCAACTTATCACATAAAAAAAAAGCTATTTCGTTGTTAAGCGGAAATAGGAAGCAAATGAAAAACCAAATTTTGGAAATGAAAATGAATGAACTTTTTCATTTATTTTCTATTCCAACATTCGGTAATGAATAAACTTAAAGAATTCAAGTGAAAGTACTAAAACTAAAATATGATATTACGTTTGTTTTTTTTTAAACATTGCTTTTAATTTAGGATAACACTATCCTGTGTTGTAAGGACATTTTACAAACATATACTTCAAGCGGACAAATACCCCGTGTGAAAATCGAACCCACGACGCCGAAACTAATACCTTGGCAACTGCACCGCGGAGTCATCAGTTACTAAGTTTATAGATATTTTTATGTAAATACTTGGCAAGCGAGCCTGCACTTCACCCGATGTTAAATGACCACCACATCCCGCGGACGTCTACAACACCTGATGGGTTGCAGACGCGATTCCAACCATAAAATAAGTGGGCCTCTCACTCACCAGAAGAATACCGAAAGTATAGTCCTTCCAGATTACGTTGGTCTTCTGTGAGGCTTAGGTAATTTCCCGAATGAGCCTGCCCATTGTTGCAACAACAGAAGCTGTTGCATACCCCTACTACAGTTGGAATAATTTAACTCTGTGAAACGTAACTTAGACTACATTACAGACAGTAAGCTCCTTGTACATCAGACTTCGATACCGTAATCTTTGTCAGTAGCTTGTTGTTCGTACTCTCCGCTCGGATACGACCTCGGATTACAAGCCTGATAACCTAACTACTAGGTCGCTAGGGAGCAAAGGGTGATGTTTAGAGCTTTACGAAGCTTTTAGGTTTTTTTGAACCAATCAGAATTTATAAAACACTGCGTTAAAAGTATGATGTACGTGCTATTGGGGCTTAGAAAAAGAAACTCAAGGTTCCGTATATTAATGTAATTTTATTTTAAAATAAATATAACCAATAACATTTATTACATCACAGGAGAAGGGTATCGTAAAAACACAATTCAAGTTCGTCGCGAATACAAAACGACGGATTACATTTTTATTATCGGACCATAAACATTTAATTTTTTTTCAGTGGCAATAATTTTATTTATGGCCAGATAAGAAAAAGTTCCGTTATCTTATCAATTGACATCCCTTATAAATATAAATAAGTTTAATCTACAAAATAAAATTATATTTTTTTTAATGAACAGTTAAAAAAGAAATAGTTTTTCTTTTTAAAAAAAATTTTAAGCGATATCCAAGGCAAGATAGAGCTATTCATCTTGTTTTCCTTTTATCTTTCACTGTTAAATATTTAAAAAAACAATGAAGTTCTTTGCACAGCCTAGCTTCAATAAAAGTCTGAATAAAAAAATTTAGTTTCAAAATTGACAAATACAAGTCTTGATTAGGCCGTGTAAGTTAATGTAATTGGATCTGTTTGGTAAATCACATTGTGCATTGACTCGAACGTATTCCAGTATAACATCATATTTACCTTAGGGCGAAAACTAAACAATATTCACATGTTTTATTAGTAGAATTACAAATCCACTAAGTATATATTCATTATTTACGGTCAGACAATAATCTATTATAGTATATGCGAAATAGATTTTAGCACGCTGTCCTCTCTTTGAAATATTAGAATTGAAGTTATCATAAGCAGTAAAATGTCAGATGTCGCGAGATAGCGCGCTAAAACGCATTCCGTTACAGATTACGAAATCTAAAGATATGCATAACTAGAAACAGGTTAATAGTTCAATCTACAACTAAATACACTTTTTACAATCCGTAATACATAATCAAGCGAAGATTCTAAATAGTTTTTTTTTACTATAATACGTTAGTTCTAAGTTGACGTTCGTTTTCGTTTTAAATGTGCATTTATGTGACGGCCATCTTGAACTGATGTTTTGTTTTTAATTTATATTGTAGAATTAGGTGAATGTAGTTAAGGAGTTTCCTGTTAAATAATAATTACCATAAAATGAATTACTATATAAAATTAATCAAACAGCTTAAGAAACAAGTTATTTTAATTTTCCTAAACTTTATTGAGCTTTTTGCATAATATAATGTAAGCAATAATGAGTAAATTCATTGCTTATTTTGGTGAATTCTTTAAGTAGATAGTTGAAAAGTAGAAGAAGAAAATTGCTTCCCTACAAGTTATTACTTTTAACTTCCAGCAATAAACATTTATAACATATATATGACTATAAAATGATATGTTCTTTAAACGTATAAATTCTCTATTTAACAGTATGTTAAGCTTTTTGAACGGATCGTTGTTAAAATAAGAAATACGTCGCGTCGAGTCGGCTCCACAGTTTTGTTTGACCAAAGACCCTAAGATCGCAAATAGCCACAATAGATAGTTGTAAATTGTTCCAGCGTCAAGATGATTTGTGCTATTGTATGCTTAGCAGTACCTGAGAGATCGCATAAATAATTTTGACAGTTCAATTGTGAGTGATTACTTAAGTGTTGCCTTCTCTTTTGTTGTGGCCCGTTCTAAGATATTTACGATCATGGTATTATTGAACACAATATAGATGCACAATCAATTTTTACAAATTCACACGAGAAAACGATTAGGGTTGAAAAGGTTTAACTTAGTTATTTAAATATAAATGACAGTTTTAGTTTAGTTTTGTGGGCATACAGATATTATCGATGTTTATTTTATACATTAATGTGTGAAGGATTAAATGGCGTCACATTTGGTGCACATTTAGAGCGAAAAATGGCTAACTATTATATTTTGAACTTAGTAAAGCTAATAATACTGTACACACCTCCATTAGGGCATTGATCTGTCGGTGAAAAGGTCAAGTACTGTGTGAAACTTTACTAGTCCGGCAATAGACTCTGAACAGGAAAACTTCACTGTACAAATCACGTACAAACGAAAAACTTTGGCAAGAGAAAGACGTTTGATGATTCCAATGGACGACAAGTATCATTATCAACTTAAGCGGTACGTGACTCTATCAGCTAATTGATAAATTATCCTCCATGCCTTACAGTATACACATTACACTTAATAAATGAGGTATGTTAAACTGACTGTGACAATGATTCACGACTTTCGTTAGATATTGGCCTATTTTCTATCACCGCTTTGTCAAATCATCTGCTTTAACGGCATTCTTGGAATGAAGGCGTCTCCTAAAAAACCTACATTCCGTATCATCAAACAACAAACTGAGCTGTCGTTAAAATAGGATGAACTTCGAATGGCAAGTAATGACTCGAAGAAGACTCATAATATTATTAACAATCGAAACGGGAAAAGTTAGCGAGACAAAAATGATCTGGTTGATTGACGTTTTTTACTGGAGATAGAATTTTGACGTAAGTATTATAAGGCTAATGTCAGATATCGTTAGTAACCAAATTTATCTGCAGATAGAGTATTGAAACGTTAGACAAAACTACAGTCCTCAATAATTACCTAAGGCCATGTTTCTTTAAAATGTATGAAAGTTTATGAAAGTATCCGCTTCTATTCTAAACTTTTAATTTAATGTTAGCAAAATATTTTTAATAAGTTCACAAAATCTTTCTGACAAGTGATTTGACTCAAGCTGGCTGTATTTTAACATTATAAATATGGGTTTAGTTTTAAAAATCTAACAATTATACAAAATGCTTCAAATGGAACAAACTTATTTTATTCTACATCTCATTAATGATAGGTTAATAAATAATATTCGTAACATATTTTCGTCAACACCGTCCTAAATTTTAAAATATTGTTCTAAGGATATTAACAATGTTAAAAGCTTAGTACGTTATTATGTTGACGACTGTACTTAGTCACTAACAAAATCCTAGGAAGGAGAAGTTGCTAAGTTACGAAATTAGTAATTTTTGGCATATTATAACAAAGATATATTTTAATAAAAGAAATCATGATACTTCATTCAAAGCTTCATTTTGCGTTTTTTTTAATTATCGTATCTGGATGTCGATAATGCGTTTTTTTTTGTATTTACGGTTTCGTCAATTAACATTAGCATGAAAAATTCAATATCTCTAATGATACTCTTACACGCGACTAGTTTAACATTTAAATTCATTAGATAATGAGAAATCTATTTTATTTAGCATATATTTAAATCAATGGCAGTAATATTCGAAACTACTTATCAATTCACATTTTGCACGGAACGTAGACGGAATATATGCTTGCTAATTAGACGTTTAAGATTCTTTATGTTTGAGATTTTTCTGAATGATATGTTCTCATGGCTGCTTTGTTTTATTATTACTTTTTTCAAGATGGTGGACAGCTAGTGACAGTTGATGGCGCGCCGCTGCAGGCGACGTATGCGCCTGTGCCAATCGTCGCGCCATTCCAGCAGAAGGGTTCTCTCTCCGACCGTTAGTCCTGGCAAACCAGATGACACTCCCTCTTTTTCCACTCCTAGGATCAGATAGGACCTGCCGGAACAGCACTTGAATGAGGTAAGATAAAAAGCATTGACATCATTACGAGGGGCTGTTAAAAGTTTGCCAGTTTATTTTGGGTTTTACGATGATGCCATATTAAATTTTATTGTCCAATAAAATTGGTGATTTTAACACGTTAGGTTTTACTTGCTGTAAAATCTTTTCTTATTGCATGAGCGACATATTAATGTTAGCCTAAAATAAATAAAAAATGTAAGCATGGACTTTGACCTCGAAAACCACAAGGGTAGCAGATGAAAGAGTGCTGGAACAACGACTTGTTGATTTTGATTTTGGTTCAATGAGAGGTAAATAGAGGATCGGTAGATGGGGCAACTCTATCACCGGGTATACTGACTGTTATTTTTGATTTTAGAGTACCTTTTTTATGTGAGAACGTGGCTAACGAGCTGGCGGTTCACCTGATGTTAAGTGATAACCGCCCATGAACAGTTGCACTTCACGCCGCTCTTCTGTTAGGTCGTGGTACTTACCTGGACGGACCTGCCTATTTGTGAAACAGCGAACGCTGTTGCCAAGCCCTACCACAGTTACATCAGGCGAATGGAAAACTAAAAAGGGGGCCACTCCACAAATGGGTATACAGACTGGTTAATTTCAATCTCAGGGCTATATGAGGCAAATGGAGGATCAAAAGGGAGTCGGGGGACTTTCTTGTTAATTTTGATCTTGGGACAATATCAGGCGAATGGGGCATCGAAAAGAGCAGCAATGAGCAGGCATACTAACTTGTTAATTTTGATCTTGGGGCAATATATAAAGGATCAGCGACGAGAGGGCGTACTGACTTGTTAATTTTGATTTCAGGGCAAATTCAGGCGAATGGTGGATCATCGGGAGAAGGGCTGCCTTAGTAACTTTGATCTCAAATCAAATCAAATCATCTATTCATCCCAGTAAGAAATATATATCATACATCTATCGATAGTCATTTTTTTATCTCTTCTCTACCACAGTTTCGTAATGAGGTTGCTCTTTTTTGTCATTTTTTTATGTTGGCGCAATATCAGGCGAATGGGCGGTCATTAGAGGGGCAGCGACGAGAGGGCGTACTGACTTGTTAATTTTGACCTTAGGGCAATATCAGGCGAATGGGAGGTCATTAGAGGGGCAGCGAGGAGAGGGCGTACTGACTTGTTAATTTTGATCTTGGGGCAATATCAGGCGAATCGGGGGTCATTAGAGGGGCAGCGAGGAGAGGGCGTACTGACTTGTTAATTTTGATCTTGGGGCAATATCAGGCGAATCGGGGGTCATTAGAGGGGCAGCGACGAGAGGGCGTACTGACTTGTTAATTTTGACCTTAGGGCAATATCAGGCGAATGGGAGGTCATTAGAGGGGCAGCGAGGAGAGGGCGTACTGACTTGTTAATTTTGATCTTGGGGCACTTGCAGGCGAGGTCTGCGGCGCGCACGTAGAGGGCGGCGGCGCCGCGGCGCAGGCGGCTGCGCGGCGCGCGCTTGTACACCGCCTGCACGCTCAGCGCCAGCCGCGCCCACGACGCGCCCGCCGCGCTCGCCTCGCGCCCGACCACCCGACCCATTATGACTGCGCACACGATACCCCATTTATTATGATACGAAAAAATTCAAAGTATCTTCTTCAAATGGACCCACCCTTGCGCGTTCATATGAAACGTCGAATTTTACATAAAAATTGGTAAATAATTTCGTGAGTAAGTTACCACCGATTGTCCGTTGATTGTACAAACATTTATAAAAAATGTACGATGACCCGAATTGGTAGTGTACCTGCCTCCTGCGCCAGAGGGTTTGGGTTCGATCCCCACTACTGGAAAAATATTGTGTAATGAACATAATGTTTTTCAACTGTCTGGGTTTTTATATATGTATAATATGTATTTATTTACAAAAGAAAAGTTCATTTAAGTATGTTTATCAATTTTCTAGTACAAACGTTGCTTAGTTTGGACTAAGCGACGCTTAATCCCAAAGTAAGCAACACTTAGTTGTGTAAAGTGTGTCCTAAAATATTTATTATTATTATTTATTATTAATGTAGATAGTATATACCTATAGAATACAAAATATCCGATGAAATGCTGATGTAGAGATGGTAATTTATTGTAATTTATTGATTCAATATAATGTTACCTAAATTATAAATATTTATGAATAAAATAGATTTCATTATCATATCCACGTAGGCAACTGCCTATTACGAAAGGAACACAATGGCTTATGCCACATCGTAGCGATCATCTCTTCGCAGCAGCGAAGCGTAGCAACGCAAACGTGCGGCGAAACAATTTTCTGCAATTTAGTGTTGTCTATGGGCCGTTCGTGTGGGCCGTAATAGGTGGTGAGCTAGTGTGACCACAAACAGGTGCAGTATGGCAGGATTTGCTCTGTCGCAGAGCTCTAAATCAAATACATTACATACATTTTATATGAAATAACCACCTTAGGCTGAAAGCGAAACGAGAATATGTTTATCCTAGCAATTGGACCAAAAGTCAAGTATTATTAATAATTACGTGGTTTGTTTTGGCTTGTAACTATCGATAGTTTGATAGAATAGATACTATCTTCACTGCCGCTTTCTGCACGGATGGGGATTGACCCTATTCTACTGGTATGTTGCTGGTAGCGGGGTTATTTAACATTAATTTATTTCTAACTAATTCTCAAAGGACAGACGAAAATTGAATATGGGTAATTTTCATATCAATATGCACACATTAGTTACAGGACTGAATCCTTCCATTGGCGGAGTAAGTATCATTCAGCACGAGTACCTTACTTACTACTGAGGTGTTGTTGAACCCTTAGCTAGGCTATGCACTCACCGTAGTCTCGGCTGCAGTACTTGTTGAGATTTAGAGTGCGGGCGCCGGCGCGGCATCGTCCGCACTGGTCCGTTGCTGTTACAGAAATCACCAGTCAGAAATTGAACGCACGCTCGCGAGCAAGTGAAAGTAATAACTAAAGAACACTTTGAACGGGCAGCTGTTGCTGTGATTACAGTTTGAGCGAGAGTAATGAGCGGAACTTAAGAACGAATTGAAATTAAGTCTAATAGGAACTGAACTTAGAACGAAATTAATTGAATAAAAGTATGCATTCGAACTAAATAGCGACGTCTGCGTAGTACGGAATACGTCGCTAGATACAGATACAACAATTGATGATACAGTCGCATGCATAGCAAAACAAACTAAGTTACCTGATTCACCACTTGACAGTGTTAAATGGAATAGGGGTTAAATGGGGTTTTGGTATGGTTGGCGTGGTATTTAAGAAGCCTGAAAACAAATCGTCTCGAAGATTTAAATGATTTAAACAGTTCTAAACATCGATCAAACAATAATAAAGTGCAAATAAATTCTAATGAAGTGATAGTACCTTTGGGTCCCGTGCGGAAAATGTTGCTGTGGAACAACTGAGATTGGGATCAGTGATAGGTTGCTAAATTAGTTACAATTATTATATCTAATTAAAAAGATTGTCGGGAAAGAACTAGATAATAATGAATTTGGTAGTTCAAGTGTTTTATGACCGCTATCACTTACTATTAATTGTGTTAATAAATGCCCGTGTATTACCTACGACAATTGGAGATTACATTATAAATTTAGTACCATAAAGTTTACTCTTTCATACGATCTTAATTTCGTATTGAGCGAGAGTGAGACAAATTATGTGAGACGTTATTGTTTGAGTTTCCCATGCAACTCTTCGGGCACTGTGTACTCAACTGTTTTATATATAAATTAAATTTCACCTTGTTTCTTCTTCTCTCTCTCGAAAAATCAAGAATTTACAAAAAAAATAAGTCTCTTAATAGTAAGTAATCAATATAAAATCAATACTAAAATATTGCTTTTGCCATTGCTTGATTATCCTTTCATCTTAATCATTCCTTATTTTGAGTGGCTCCATCAACTATATGATCTATTCTGTAGAGCACCCATCATGCCTTAAATATATGTTGATCTTTCTACTATCTCTTTATTATACTGATCCTATTTGAGTTGGTTTTTGTAACTGTTTACCATATTTAATCGAAACTTTTAACAATATCTTATTTTTTTTTAAATATAATAAATGTTTTAGGCTCAACTTAGGCGCAACAATCGTTGTCGAGAGTTTGACAGGCGTACACAATTGAGATTCCAAGTGTCTTGAATGTCGTATGAGCACTAGTCACTTGTATAAGTTACGTTAAGAATATTCACGGCCCGCGATTGATACTTGATGAAACGAAGATGAAATTACGCTATCGCTATAAGTGCTTGTTGTTTATTTGTGTGTTTAATTTCTTTGGTTGCAACCCGTCCTAAGGAAGAAACTTAGCTACAGTGTCTTTACATTAAGACGAAAGACAGAGAGAACGTGTATGTGACTCTTTTTCTTATTCCTTCTTCGTTTGTTGCTATTAGTGCCATAAAGTGTGGGAATAGTAAGAGTCTGTGTAGCTATTCACATATCCATAGTTATTGTTACGACAAGGTATAATCACTTCGTCGGCGGGCACTCGTTCGCGGCACAGAAAGAGTGGTACAGAAGACAAATGAAAATCAATATTGGTATGGTTTCCCATTTGAAACAATCAAACAATAAATCTTAAACTTTGTCAGCTCTAATCATAGTTGCTATACCATTAATCTCTATCGCTGATCAATAAGTATGAGGGTCCTTTGACATGGAAGAAATACGAAACCTCGAGGCATTTGAGGAGTATTGTCAATCTGTTCGGTTAATGGAGACACGTGAACCAGTGCCCGCCCGCATGCGGTGTGATGAGGCGAGAGTGCAATGAATTTCCACTTACTACTTACCGCGGCCCGGCTCTGCGTCCACCGCCTCCATGGCCTGCACGGCGGTCACCACGCGCGGTATGCCTGACCACAGAGAAAATAGATACAATTGAAAGCACAGAGAGCAAATCATGAAGCTGCGAAGAGCATTTCACTTTTTCTAAGATAATCTGATTATCGTTTGTAAATTTAAACGGCGATATGTTGAGGTTATGAAGGTCAAGCTTCAGTCCGATAAAAGCTCGTTCACTGTCGCTTTAAAGATACTCATGACGTTTTTAAAAGCCAGCAAGTACAGATAAGTTGTACGTTTACGTTTTAGGAGATTAAATAACAAGCAATTAGATTTAGTTAAGTTATGATTTAAACTATTTCATTAGCTTATATCGGTTGCTTATATATATTGCTTTCAGCTGGAAATTCAGCATAGTTTTGTAAATTATTTTTTCTTACGAACCTGATATATTCTTATATATTTTCGAAATAGCCAATCATTTAATTTATCAGTGGCCTGTACCTTATTTTATTTTTAAAATAAAAGTAAAAAATAAAATAATGTACATGTTTTATTTTTATTCTACAAATTTTCATATACAACCTAAATAAGAAAATAAGATAATAACAAGAAGAATTGCACGTTTTAACTGATAGAAGCTAAATAAATTGATTTTTTGCCATTCAAGACTTTTAGCACCCTGATTTCGAACATCTATCTAATTTGGAGTACTTACAGTGAGATCTTGACGGTATAAATCAACAAGTACGAGGTATTTCTTTCCTTGGAACTGATTGACAGACCTTACTGAATTTTATCCAAACCCTCCTAACTGCTTTTCAAACTATTAGGCTAACCTGTTACATCCATTAAAGGTCAGATGCTGGTCATGGTCAACTTACGAATGCAAGGCGCGATGTGGCTTCGCGACTGCTGGTAGCCTTTTGCGCAGCGGTTGCAGGTGGTGCCGGTGACGCCGTCCTTGCAGGGGCACTGCCCACTCGTCTGGTTGCAGGTCTTGCCACTCGCCCCCACCGGGTGGCAGTCGCAGGCTGAATTCCAGAATATTAATGGGCATTTATCAATACTAGAAATGTTAAAAAGTAGAAAAAAGTAACATCCTGTGTTTGTCTCACTGCAACTGCCTCCTCTCAAAGATCCTTTCTTTTTTATGTATTATCATCACGCGATCCCAGACTTTACACTTACTCGTCTTAGATATATTTCCTTTTATTTTAGTACTATGTATGGTTACGTTAAATCAGCACTTATAGCTGCAATTAATAATTTCATTCGTGTCGGTATCGGGATGAACTTAAATTGCTTCAGTATACTGAATTAAAAGCGAACGCCCGAATACTTAGGATCCAACTTTGGCATTATGCCATGGCCAATTACTTATTTATTGTTTTTTATTTATTTAATAAAAAAATTCTTATGCACAACCACTTATGTACAAAGGCGGACTTAATGCCATCAGCATTATCTCCCAGTCAACCTTGGGGTGGGCCAGAAAAGTTAAGGTAGGTGTATATCAATAATGTATCATAGAACATAGAAAATGTGGAGTGTACAATGCACTAAAGTTTAGACTCCTTTATAATTGCCCTAATGTCTGTCGATTGAGATATACGAACACGATTTCTAACGTCAATTGTTGCAGTTAATAATTAAGAAATATTTCCACTGTCATGGAATTTTCTCGTTTTCGTTAACAATTTTTTTATATAGCAATCGACATTTTAAGAGGAAGAAAACTACTCGTGCGTCTGAAAAGGTCTACGTGGTCGCCGCAAAGCCCCTGCCAATAGTGCGGTGTATTCGGCGTGTGTTTCCAACTGCGCCCCAGGGACCGTCCCTTTCCGCTGTTCGAACAGCGCGGCCGCAAAATTTACGGCCAGGGGAAAGGAATCCGTCGTTAAGGTGAAAAGCCAGAGGCCGACGGCACCCGAAGCGATAAACGAAAGTAAACGGCCGCCAGTCAATTTCCCGTGGTAGCCCCCCGCGAAATAGTCTCCCCATAAACTCTGTGGGCTCCGTAATAGCGTGGGACCTTTACGGGCGCAAGACTCGTCCAGCTGACAACAGATTGATGGACCCGGGATGGAAAGGTCGTGACGATGACACGCCCGAATAGTGTTTGTGGAAGAATTGCATATTGGTATACTTTTCGGATATTTGCCCGCTCGGTTGGGGTTCTGTGTTTCGTTATTTGCGTTAGTACTGGAATTAAATGAAAGCAGGAGGCATATTCACATTGACGAACAAAATCTTAAAACTAAGAGAAAAAAATAAACGGAGGAAAATAAAAGAAATAATGTTTTTATTTTAATTGATAAATTTTTACTTAATAACGATTTGATAAGTAATTAAAATAAATTAGTCATTTTATTAAGGTATTACTTGCAGTACTTATGATATATATTTTGTACAAATTAGGCAAGCAAGGAGGCCGTACACGCGATTAAATGATTACCGCCGCCCATGGAAGTCTACCAATACTGCCAACCTTTAAAAATGGGCCCCGGTTACCTCACTACACAGGCGAAACGCGAAACTATAACACTCCCACTTCACGCCGGTCTTGCGTGAGAAGTGGAAGCCGTGCTAGCCTTCACATTCATCCAACATCCCAAGATCTTTCGTGGCCCTACCATAGTTAATATAAGCAGTATGTATGCTGTTGTTGTTACTTATTCAATCAATCAATCAATCATTTATTTGCCATCTAAGTTTACATTATATAAATAGGTGTTAGCATTACATTATATAAAGAGCCGTGATAGCTCAGTGTCCGGGCGCTCGCCTTTAATTCAATATATACTCGAGCAACCTGAGTTCGATCCCCGGTGCCGGCACCAATGAAGTTTTTAACTTTAAGTGCTGAATTATCACGTGCTCCGCGGTGAAGGAAAACATCGTGAGGAAACCTGCATATTTTCGAAATCATAACAAAAAAAAATGTATTTCGAAGATATGTGAAGTCCGCCAATCCGCAATGGGGCCGCGTGGTGGACTATGGCCTGATACCCTCTGTATAGAGGAGGCCTTTGCCCAGCAGTGGGACATATATAGGCTGTTACTTTACTGTTTACTTTAAATAGGTGTTAGAGGTGTATACAGAAACTTAGATGCCTTTGCCAGGCACTGCAAATTTTTTAATGGACACTGCTCACTTAAATTTTAATTAAGTTAATGAATATGAAAATGAACACAAAATGAATATAATAAAAAAATAAATAGAAACAAAAAAATTGATAAAACAAAAAAAACTTATTTATTTTATATGGTTTGTAAACCATAAAATTATATTTCAACATTCCATCAGCATCTTTCTCATCTTTTTAAAAAGGTCGATTTGTTTGTAAAGCTTTTCATAAAAATTATAAACTTGTGTCTAGTATTAAAGACAGTCGCCTATAATTTAGATCTATTATGGTCCAGGTAGGAGTTGGCAAGTTAAATAATTATATTATAATTTTAGGTTATAAGCGTATGTAATTTGAATTTCAAACGTCAAAATAATCTTTGGTCAAACGTAGTTTCAGTATTGATGTCTATCTCTACCCTCTTTCCTATCTCTTCTATGATGAAGTTCATTAACTATATATAATGAAGTTTATTAACGTTCTTTTGTAGAAAGACAAACAATATGGCAACACAAAACACTACGTACTGCCTAATTTGAAACTTATAAAACCTAAGTTATAAACCTAAACATCTAACGTAGCATTCCCGCAAAGCATCACTACGAACTGACGGCTGTATCCCGTCCGAAGGATGGGCAAGTCTCTTTACAGTTAAATTCCTAAATGTACGAGTAGGCGTTATAAAAGGATTCCCCGATTCCCAGACCGTCGACCCCATTATCCTTCGACGACGCAACGATAAACTTGTGAGGGCAACACTGGTCGTGGGCCGGTGACTAGGGACGCATTCACATAATTGAGTTTCTCCATCGATGTCGACCCTATTGTTTTGTGGACGATAACTGCTTTACCGATTTTTGTGGTTTATATATGTCACACTTTTTTTTGTTCAGATTGAACATTTGTCACATTTTGCATTTGTTTTATCAAATATAATTTAGTAAAATAATTTAGACGGATATTAAGATAAAAATCAATTGATAAAGAAAATAATTTTATAAGGGTAAAATACGAAACCACAAACGAATCACATAATATATTAATGTTCACCATTCGAAATCAATCACTAAAAATGTTTTAATATCCAAACATAACTAAACGTGTTACGTCTATCACTCCAAAACGTCAATTGCCCGCAGCCGCCAACCGAACAGACTTTTAAATTATTGTAGGTGTCGCCACTATAAACCAATAGAAATATTCTAGATCCGTGTTGCCTAGTAGAATATTAATAACACATTTTTTGTGTATGCTAACATGGAAAGATATAAACAATCGACTTCGTAATTAGCGCGAAATATGGTAGAAACATTATCTTAATACCGCACACCATAAATTGGAAGAAATCTACGGAACCACAAAAATTACGTTCACCTTCAAGAACATTGTTTGATTTGAATGAAAACGAGTACACACTGTTTACTTTGAAGCGACGCACAGGTGCATAACAATTTTTTTTTATGAGACGTCTTATTTATTTTATCTGTGCACGGCAGTCGGCAACGGGCTCGCCATTAAAAAGTTACGTGCATTATTTTTACCTTTATTTGTGAGTTAGCCTTTTATAGTATTACTAAAACGTTTCTGGGCGCATAAAGCATTTGAATAAAGTAAATAAATTTTAGCCGGAACATGTACAAACGGGACTTTTATTGCTTGTTATATAGTAATAACATTTTCCTTGTGTTGGTAACTTAAAACATAACACATATCATAACATATTGTTGGTTTGCATTTCTATCGGAATGTTATTTTAATCAAATAGATTTAATGAATTACGACAAATACTTAAGGATTTGTTCTCTGCAAAAACTTAGAATTATTTTATAATAAAGCGACTCCCATTATGGGGAAGACTTTCTGTGTGTGCTTGAGACACTTTTTCTGTACAGAAGCGATGTCATTGTTGCTAATTGTTATAAATTAACATCTAGGTAAAATTTATTAATAGTTTGTCTTTGTGGCATTGAAGACACTTAAGTATTCAGATATTGAGACAAACGCCAGCTGAAAATTTCGTTCCATTGTATTTTTTACGACCGACAACGCAAATCACTGCTATATACACAATACAATTGCTCATGGAAATCACCTATAATCTAATACAAATGTCTGTAGAGAGACTCTAAATTGGCATAATTGGTTAATGAAGACTTTTTATTACATAAAAATTCTTCAGTAACCAATTATTGATTTATTAAGACAGGCTTGGCATTCTATCATTTCTAAAATTAGAATCATCGACACTGTTTCATCGCAAGACATCACAGCGAAGACAAAAAGGATTCACTATGATATCGGTTCGTTAACACGACCTTGGCTGATGTTAGGTGTTTGAAAAATCTAAATTTATTTAAAAAAATTAAACGGAATGAAAGCGGTAGTATAGTTTATGTAGCACTTGCTGCTCCATGGCATTACATCAGCGAAACACTTTTCTGCTTCTTCCCAGTAGAGAGTAGTGTGATTTTAAATTACCATATAACCTCAAGAATTGGGGAAAAGATTTTTTCAAATCCGACGGGTAGTTCTGGAGATTAGCGCGAGGAAACAAACAAACTCTTCAGCTTTATTATATTAGTATAAAGATTGAAACACTCACGTTTGCAGGCTTTCTTGTGGGTGATCGGCTTGGTGGGGTCCCGGTAGTATCCCTCGCGGCAGTAATGACAGTGCCTGCCGGCGGTGTAGTGCCTGCACTTGAGGCAAACGCCACCGCTCGCCCTACCCGACAACTTGTACAACTCCATGTTGAATCGGCAACGTCGCGCGTGCCCGTTGCAATTGCACTCTGCGAAAGGGAATCCCGTTTAGTGCGAAGTTTAAATGACATGTTCAGGTCCGCACGGAAACAATGTGTTCTATTGGAGATTAGTTTTTTTTAAGTGAGAAGCTGGCAAGGGAGCTTGCGGCGGTTCACCAGATGGTAAGTGATAACCGCCGCCCATGGATATTGCAACACCCGTAGGGTTGCAGATGCGTTGCCAACTTTTATTAATATAGACGAAACGCAGAAGTATAACACTTCCACTTCATGCCGGTCTTCTGTGAGGTCGTGGTAGTTACCAATACGGACTCATCCAGTTTTGCAATAGCCGAAGCTGTTGCATGGTCTAAGCACAGATTCCAACAAACTTACCTAATCCAAAACATAGCTGCACGATCCTGAGCCACCTGCATCCAAGACTTCCTGCGTTTTTGCAAAGGTCGTCGCTCTGTATTTATTTAGTTGAAATTTGTTAACACTGCCTATCATGCTAGCTACGAAAAAAATGTTTACGAAACCTTTTTAACCGTCCTTTACCGTCATTATATACTCAGGTTAATTATTACAGAATAAGAAGTATATTTACATTCTAAGCTTCAATCCAAAAGTGTCAAACACTTTGTCCATGGTCCCAGGAGAGACTAACTAGAATAAAACGCAATACAATCTGTAAAGCAGTTCTACTTTACAATGTGTATAGTATAAAACATGAGAATAATCATTATAGGAAACAGATACGATTTGAAATAATAAAAACAAAATGAAATAATTTTCAGGACCTTCTTTTTATTTAAAAATCTTAATTTCTGCTGTTAGCCCATCACATAATCTAAATTTACGCCAAGGAACAAATATTGTTTTTCATGATCCAAAATACCCGACGCAGGAACGAAGTCCACGGATGTACTTTAAGCAAATCAAAGAATTTTAGTATTAAGCAAGCCCGCGGGAGCTCCAGCGATTTTTATCATTGAATTATAAAGCTTAACATCACCTCTGGGATTGAAACAAACCACCATCTTTCAAAGACAGAGACAGAAACTTTTGATCTGCTGCGCAAACGCTGCTCTGTAGAGTAAAACTGTCAACGCGTACTATCTGTTGAAAATGTTCTTTACCGCAACCAGATGGCGTTGGGCGTCCCTCAAGACTGCTTTCATCATTGGACGATAATTTATGCAGCTGTCTGGAGTCTTTTGTTTTTTTTTATCGCAGTCGTTTTTAGTTTTTTTTATTGTCTATGCCTACAAAGTCAACGCACAACGCTGCGGTTACCGTTTTCGAATTGGAGAATATTTTATTTATGAATATTTTTTTTATAATGGAATGTTCATTATAGGTTTACGTAAACGTTAACAATTTTTAACTGATTTCAAAGAGCGCTTGACGACGCATTATACGCTTTTAGTAGTAATGCATATTTTATTTATTATTAATATATTAACCCCATTTTAAGTATGTCGTTTTTAGGGAAAGTTTAACCTTTTTATTCCGCAAGCTTCAAAAGAGGTTGTGTGTAGATTCATTAAGCTTATGTAAGGTCATCTTGTATATGAGGGGTTCATTTTAACAAGATTGTAAATCGTTGGGAGGAATTTCACCTTTACCTAAATTAAGGAATGTATCCATTTGAACTGATTTTAATCACAAACTTTTTGGATATGCAACAAGAAATTATGCAAATCTGTCCGTCCGTCGCCATTTTGTTTTATGACTGTCGACGTGACGTGCAGGTGGACCGTTAGGCAAGTTTCTCGAAGACAAACATTAAACTAAATTGATATTAACACTGAACGTTGTATATATTGATTTATTACTCGGTCGGCGTTAAAATTTATATGTGACTAACTGTTTCGTGCATTTACAGTTCCGTTATAAAGCTCAGTTACATTCTCAGCGAAACATATTATTTAAAACTTTTCTTTTAACTAATCCAGACGTCGAAATACCGTAGATTAACTTGGAATTTGTTTTTTTTAATGGAAAAGGAGGCTAACGGGTCGCCTGGTGATAATTAGTGAGCCGCCACTGGCAACATTTCAACATTTTCATTTATTCAAGTATAGGAATATATACATATAAAACTAGATCCAATATAATAGGTAAAGTGTATGGTAAACTTAACTAAATACTTATTTGTTTGATGGTTGTAGCGAGTACCAGCGATCTAATAAATTGTTAGCGATAAACCAGAGCAGTGCAGTGGCAACAGTGTTGCCGTATTATGCTAAGTCAGTGGTTTAATCCAATATTACAGCATTCCTGCAGAGCTACTAACAAATGCGTACCTATTAATGATGTGTGTGTAACTTTGTTGTTGCTAAAACTTTTATAATTTATATACAATAACGTTATATACAAATACGAGGAAGATATGACACTAGTGCGCAAATGAGGCACTCAAATTACGCAAATTGATGTATATGATTGCAACTCTATAGACTGCTATCTCTTTCCTCATCATACGTTGTATATTATCTGTCACATTCTCTTATATGTATTGTCATAAATGTAAAGTGGAACAATTTTTAAGCCCCGCGCATTATGGACATGCGTCAACTTTATTAAAACATCATTGCTTACGTATTTATATTTATAAAATGTCACGGTTAATTGTTGGTTCAGAATGCGTTTGCCGTCTTTAACAAAAGTTGCAAATGCTGGTCACTAACGTATTTTTGGTAAAATTTGTGTTATTCTTCAAGTATTTTGTATATAGTTTTGGTATGGAGCGTAAATGTCAAACACTAATCGATCTTGGAAAAACATTGTGTACATTTCATATGCTTGATTAAATTTGTGTAGATTAAAGCCACATTTTCTGCCGATCGATTACTTAGCGACTGGACCAGCCAAGTCACCGAATTGTCCATTAATTGGTCATTAAAATAACAAAAGGATAGACGTAATGAGCATAAAAAGTCGAGTGCGTTTCCCTAGCTTTGTTCAGCTACTTCCCAAATCGAACAGAAAAAGGGCCTCCTTGGAAAATATAAAGTACATAATCACCGGGTTTATTTATGTATAAGTTTTATAGCTTTCGACCGTAAAATTTAATTCTAATAAGGCTAAATCAAAATGTTGTTATAGAAGAATTGTGTAAACTTTTGCATTCTTGTTTTAAAAACAAAATTCGAATTGAATGAACAAAATGATTTCAATAGCATGATTAATTAACTTTTATCTTATCAATATTCACGCATATTTATATCCGCACCACAATTGTACTATGTACCAGGAAAACAGAAGTTACTATCTATCAGCTGAAGTTTTTAGGGAAAAAAGTTACTTTTATCTTATCAACACCCCTTCAGTGCCTACTTAGTAAACAGAGTAAAGACAATTACTAGGATGGCATGACTTTCACCTGGTTCAACTTCCTTCCAAGATTACAATAATCTGGATTCATAAAAAATATAGGAAGCCATTTTCATTTTCAAAATTGACGAAATTTATTAACTCTTTAAATCACGCTGAGTGCAAATCTATTTGGTGAATTTAAATTGTATTTATTTTTATTGTTAATATTTTTTCATTTATTCATGTACCGCAGGATCTTTTCTTTCTTCCTTCTTTTCTTTCTCATTTGTTTTTATGTGCTATGTTACAAGAACTCAGTTACCGTGCTACCAGGAGAATATAAGTTTTAAGGCTTCCAAATCGAATTCCAAAGGGAAGGGCTGTATTAATTTTTCAAATCCCTCGTGGATACGGTCGGCTTTTGAAAGAAAATTGAAACGTTCCATTTTTAAAAGCGCCCAATGGCACGCCACGTGCGCGGTACGTGATTTGCCGCATCCGTTCACTCTTTGGAGTTAATGCGTACGGATGCGCGTGACCCTGAATAAGGAGCTTGCTTTTCGGCAGCTTTTTTCATTTGAATGGAGCTGAGCGATTCTGGCGTTAGATAAAGGTCATGGAACTCAAGAGCCCCAGCGCTTTTAAGTTAAATTCAGCTTATTTCACACAGAAATACAAATAGCTTTTTTATAATAGACAGACCCCCTTGTTTGTATTCGATATTATTGTTTCTTTCTAAGATCTCAAAATTATCTCAAAATCTATTGGTACTAACCGCCACCAAAATCCTAAACCTACAAAATGCTAAACCACCACCAAATCTTTTTAGGAAACGTGATATTTCAGCCACAAATGATAATAAATAGTAATTAGTATAGTTATTAAAAATCAGATTAAAAAGGCACGTATCGCATCAGCTGTTAAAAATGAAAATTAAAAGCATAGGGCATAAAACAATAATAAAATTAAAATTGTATATATTTTTTTAATACTACGCATTCTATATGCATTCGGAACGATAATAATAGTATTCATATAATATCCATAACTAGAAATACATTTTTAATAATAGTTCATGGAAAACGTTCGGTGACGATGACGCGTTACGGTTTCTGTTCACTCAAAGAGTGCTCAATGCGCCTAAGGAAGTTTTCACTTCAAAAATCCAAGTCCCGACTAAGAACTTTAGTAAATACAGTGTGAATACAGTGTGAATAATAAATACATATTATGTAAACACATTCATATAAATGTACACACATTCATTTAATCAAGATCGTTAGCGAATTATAAATATACGGGTCTTGTTACGTAAATAGATAAAACACTTATCTATTTAACAGTTTAAGGGCAAATCCAATTAATGAAAATTTCCAGCATAATTGATGTGAAGTGAGCGTAGCGCTGTGAAATCCTATCACGTATCAAAGCGGTCCAGAAGAAAGCAGCACGCCGCCAACCCTCGGTAACTACGTTAAACCAACGGGGTAAGGAAGGGTAGGGAGGGGGAGTACATCAAATTGGCCCACTCGAGATAACGAGTTTATTAATTCGATTAACCCCAGCTCGAAATGGACGTATCAAAGAGTAATTGTTCGTCCTAAGGTTGAGCGCCCCTGACATATGCGCCGCATATTAAGGCTTAATAGTTGTTACCCGCAAAAATCAGCTAGTTATAAAGGCTCCCAAAATAGTTACATGACTTGACGCCAAAAGACTTGAAGAGCTTTATAAATATTTTTCAATACTTATAGATGAATTCCTTTTTAAAATACTTTCATGTATTTACTGAAATGTGCGGATATGTTTAATGAAACTGATAAATATATTTTAAATTTCGAAACCACTAATTATTTCTAGCCGTGATGGCTCAGTGTCTGGGCGCTCGCTTTTAACTCAATATACTCAAGCGACCTGAGTTCAAATTGAGGTCCAATGAAATTGTAATAAGTGCTGAATTATCACGTGCTCACTGGTGAAGGAAAACATCATGAGAAAACCTGTATATTTTCGAAATAATAATTAAAAAAACAAATTTTGAATATATGAGAAGTCCGCCAATCCGCGAGGTGGCGAGGAGGTTTTGCCCAGCAGTGGGACTTATAGGTTGTTACTTTACTAAATATTGCAATAAATTCTCATGAGCCTCTCATCCCACAAGGAGCTATGCCACGCGACGTTGAGAAATAACCCCGTCTCAATGTTATTATAATGTTCTTTTTGTCCGTCAGCGAGACGTCTGACGACATACAGTCGTGAGTGGAGGCACGCGTAGCGACGCGATAAATCACCGTTTAATTGCATAAATAGTGCGTTTAACGTGCTATTGTATTTTGGATTCGGGCTGGACTCGCTTGGCGCGGGTCCAACGCTCTAATATATGGGGTTGCGGGGGACACCTAGTTGGCTAGGCCGCCGGCTTAGTCACACGGCCGAGATTAGTACAGATTCAATGCGACGCTTTATCGTGATGGTTCTTATCCTAGTCTAATCCCTTGCTAACTGTCGCACGCGGCGTCGCTTTGAGAATTTGCGTTTGGATTAGTTGTGAAAAGTAGCATATAAAATTTTCATGTTAGCGCCAAAAACAATATGAAAGAGCAATCGCGTGTATAATTCAATATCATTCATCATTCCAGCTGACTTTAGTCCATTGCTGAACATAGGTTTCCGGTAGGGCCAGGCAGCAGTCTTTGCTGTGGCACGAATGGGCAGGTCTATCTGGAGAAGTACCACGATCTCATAAAAGATCAGCGTGAAGTGTTATGCTTCTGCGTTTCGTCTGGTGAGATATCTTCATACACAACAACACCCATAAGACGTGTATGAAGATAAAGCTGACGTTTCTAGTCAGCTCCTTGGT